TAAAGAAATAATAAACAATATTATTTAAATTGAAGCACTATGTAACCAAATTGCTATTTTGTAAATTATCTTGGCACATGAAGATGAAAGGACATATACCATATATTAACCTTTATTTAAACTTACAAAGCTTTCTTTTGTTACATATAATTTATGCATTTCATTTTTAACCCAAAATGTTCAAACTAATTTAATGTTTCATAAAACATATATAGAAACCATCTTAATTAAAGCAACAATCACCTGTTGATCCAGAGTGGCCAAACTTTCCTCTTCTATCTCTATTTCTCCTTTGTGAGTTTTTTTAGTGTGATGTGGATGATTTGCTTGCTCCAGCTGGTCTAACTGTTCACGTTTTATCATTTCCAATGTCTGTACATGTAACAAAAGTCATGATGCTTGGTAAAACCTCTAGTCATAAGTTTAAATCAATCATAATGTATAACAGTGCACCAGTGTAGTCTGAAGTGTAAAGCCAATATTATAATATAATATCCAATATCTATAACTCATTTTGGTTTTTCTTAAAGTAAGACTGATGAAATTTTCTTAAAAATAAAAAAAATAATATCTCATGTGAAATTATAAAGATATCTATGGTCACAATCACAGCAAATTATGACAAGAATATGTTTTAAAAAATTATTTTGTCTGAAGAGACTAAACAACTGATATTCTGATTATATTACTCAGATCAACCATATCATTGAATAATCTTTAAAGTCAGTTATAAGCAAGAGATAAACTAGTTACTGTATTGCTTGTGTTGATACAATAATGATTAGATATTATGTTTTATTTAATTATGTAATTAGCTATAGGTATACCAAAATATCTCTTATATTAACCTTCTTGCTATGAGCTCAGTGGATTACACTGACCTTGTGACCCCAAAGTGACCATCAGTTTCCATATATTTTGTGTATCTTCACAAAATTTGGCAAAATTTCAATAAAAATTACAAGTATTTTGTATACAACATACATATACAACAACACAGGTTATTTTAATTAAGTGTTTTACTAATAATTTGTCTGTGAATATATGGAGTTACAATGGTGACTGCTCCAACAACAGTGATTTTCATATTAAGATTAAAACTAATTTTCTTAATCTCAAAATTTTCAAATTTCATTTGTGTAATCTCTAAAACCTCCTAAATAAATATCAAACTTTTTTTCAGCAAGACTTTATATTTTCTCTACCCTAACTATATAGGCTTTTGGTCAATTTGACTACCATAAAAAAATACGAAATGAATCCAAATTACACCTTTTTCTTTCTAGAATTATTGCAAATTATAACAGGAAACTACAGTTGTTTATCCCAAATAGCTTAAAGTTTGTAATAACATACATCTGTTTATATTTAAATTTTGTCTTTTATTTATTTATTTTAATTGATAAGTTACAGCCAAGAAGGACAAGTAACTATAAAAGAAAAACTATTTACACGTATATGTTAAACAAAACATAGAATAATCCCACCCGAGGTTATTCTGAATAATTACTTCAAGAACTTTTATTGAATCAACTCTGGATAGTCTATTTCCCTTAAAACATCAATTACTTGTTCCCTTGATATAACATTTAAAACTAGGCAGTTGTTGACAAGCTAGGTATCTATTGAAAGCAACTCATTTTTTGCTATTTTAAAACAGTCAGCAAGAGGATCAGCCTCTATAGTAAGAGTCATATTGTCAGCATATAGATTGAATCTATCTTATGAACATACCAAAATGAAATCATTATATAAATAAGAAGGGGCCAAGGACTGAACCTTGAAAAACCTCACAATGGAGAGTAGAGAAATGAGACTTTATACCATTAATTGAGGCATAACACTGCCTATTTAGTAAGTATGTTTTAAGAATAATATCATAAATATTACCATGTAGACCGTAATGAGCACATTTATAAAGTAAAACTATGTGATTAATACTATCAAACACCCTGGCAATATCAAGAGCACAGATTAAAACAGATTTCTGAGCCTCATAAGCCTTAATAAGTTTCGTAGTAATAGCCAATAAATACTTTTCAATAGATTTGTGCTTACTGAAACCAAACTGCAAATTATTTAAAATCTTATATTTTCTCAAGAAACACAATAATTCTATTGTAAAATATACCCTCAATAATACAAGTGAATGCAGATAAGATGGAAATAGGCCAATAATTTTCCACATGATCAGGATCTCCACCCTTGTAGATGGGAACAATTTTAGCAATTTCAAAAATCTCATATTTTATTTACAAGTACAGTTAAGAGTTCAATAATTGGATCACTAACAGATTTAACCACTGATGGCAGAACATCATCCCATCCAGCTGAAGAAAAACTAGAGAGTGCCTTAGGGCAGCTTGAATTTCAGTCATAATTATGGGTGAAAGATACATAGTCTGAGCTACAGGCTTATCTTGACACTTATTGTTAGTAGGAGTAACACACTGCCTAGTGAAATAATCATTAAACATATTGGCAATACCAGCAGGGTCAGTAACACAAGAATTTGTGTTGTTCTAAATATGTGTTATCTTTGCATTATTTTCTTTAGTACTACTTAGTTTTTTTGTCAATGGTTCACCATATGCAAGGAGAGTCATTATCCTGAAAACATTTGTTAAAGTACTTAGACTTATGATCACCAACTTGATGTTGAATAAGCACCTAAGTTCTAAATATTTATTGTATGTCCATAGATTATGTGCATCTTTAAAATGGTGATAGAGTATTTGCTTATGTCTAATCATACGTAATAAAGTTAGGGTCATCCAGGGTGGATATCTTGCATTATTCAATATAATAATTTTAACAAACAGAAAATATGAATTATGCAGTTTACAATAATGCTCTATAAAAAAGGAAAAAGCTAAATCAACATTTGGTTCTCCATCTATAATAAAGTTCTAATTAACATCACTTAAAGCAAGGTTAAAATTTTTCAGTGTGTCACCATTAACTAGTCTTTTTAGTATTGTAATAAATTTTGGTGAAATAATTAATAAAGCAAAGGATAATGTTAATACATAATGATCTGAAATATCACAACAAATTACGTCAAGAACTATATCACAACAATTTGTAGAAATATTATCAAGTGTCAATACAGCAGCCCCTACTACCCTAGTAGGTTGGTAAGTACAAGAATGTGCATTAATGACAGACATCAAATTATTATATTCAAGCACATGGCTATGATCAGTAAAAGTTTGAGTATACTGAAAAAATCCCCTAAAAAGAATAGAGAGTTGTCTAAATTGACATTATCGACAAGTGATTCCAATGTATCTATAAAATCACTCCATTTACCAGAAAGTGGATGGTAAATATAATAAAAAGTATGAAATTCTTCAACAGTAAAACTACATAATTCAATATGATCAGTCATAATAACAAAATTGAAATTAAATTTATACTTTAGGCCAGGACTTGTATATATAAAAATTCCACCACCATGTCCAGTGGGTCTACCAATAAAATCTATATTATAATTTAGTAAAGGGGGTGAAGGCTTTTCTTGACAACACCATAATTCAAGAAATATCAATATATCAGGTTTAAATTCAAAATTAAAAAATAGAGTAATCACATCTCTCTTTTGGCTAATACTTCTAACATCTAAACATATTAAATTATGCCTATTTTCCATTATTAATCTTACTACTGCATTATAATCATGAAGAACCAATAGTTCTTGCCTACATTCATTTACTTCATTGCATTATAATTTGAGTGCATTCTTCAAATTGATGTTTTCTTTCATACCAAGTTCCAACTTACTTTCAATTTTACTGGCAAATTCTTCCAAAAAAGCAAGACAACTACTGTCATCATCAATTAACGTTCGCACATTGATAATTAACTCATTTAATTGATCCTCATCTTTCATTTCAGCTTGGGAATTAAATTTCTCAAGTTCTTCAATGTTCTTAACGTTGACTTCAGCCATATTAATAAATGATATATGACAGCTATCTTTACATTTAGAATATTTTCATTGTTAATTTAATTCACACGTAACATTAAAATCTTTCAATATTATATTTACACAGTTAATGTGAAACTTTAGTTGACATATAAAACAAGAAATAACAGAATTTTCACTCTTGTAAAGCTTACCTGCTGCAACTTTGGAACAGCAGATTTCGTACACATCACTACAAGACACCATCTCAACTTTAATATTTTATTGCCCTGTAAACCATATCTAACTAATTATCACACTACACAAATTGTAAATCACTTAACGAGCCTGTAGCTCGCATTACCATATTGAATTACATAATGCACGAGTTGCTTGCAAGCATATATTGTGAAGAATTATTATTATTATTCATTATCTTACCTAATCTAGCATAAATAGTTTCAAACTTTTTACATTTTATTTATTTTTATAATAATAAATAAAGAATACGGAAGAAAAACAAATATAGTACTTACTTGGGTCCTCTTTTTGTTTTTCTGTTGATGAAAATTGAGCCTACTTTTATACTAATGGTACTACTACACTAAATAATATTTATTTACTTATATAATGCACCCAACAACACAGAAAACCAACATGTGCAAAGCAAACAATGTCCTATAGCTATCATAACTTTCCTGGCTTTCTAAGTATGACATAAGAGCTGTTAAAAATTTAACTAAGGCTGTCGAGGTAAATACCTTGAGAAATTTTGGCTTTCTATTGGTTAAGTAACATAGTATAAAACATCAGAGAATACTGCATTAAATTTTTGACGGAGAGGATGTGACAGGTAGACATGGCAATTGTGTCTAATTTTTTATTGCATGGCTTCGTAAAGAAACAAGATTAAAGGCTACAAAAATTGTTTTGCCTCAGTAATATGTATATCATAATGAGTAATTTATGTTAAAGTTTGTACATCCTATATGAGTGGTAAATCAATTAGAAAAGAGGGAAGACCTAGAGAGCAAATCTCATTTCTCATACTAGGGGAGATTGAGGATTTTAAAAAAATATTCCTTATAAAATTTAAGAATTTAAAACTTATATAATATTAAGATTTGATTTATTAACTATGTTTTGATACCAAGTTTATTCATATACAATACAAATATAGTAGTTTAATTAAATTTTGAATGCAACTCTAAAAAGTTGTGACGTGCACTTTGATCTGCCCAAGGTGAGAGGGTTAAAATTGCAAAATATATATATATACTGAATTTTTATATGTTTAACGATTTCTTAATGGACACTACTCAAACACATTCAACAACAAATACAAAAAATATCAATGAAATACATCACCACCAAAATAATGGTATAATGTAAGAACTCATGATTCAGTCTTGACATACATGCTTATTTTCTTGCTCTCTCCACTTCATAAGTTCCTTTGAGGCCATCTCTCCTGGAGACATTCGGACCAGTTTTTCTGGAGAAATGCTGGACTTTAGTATTTTACGAAACAGCCCCTGTTAAACGTACCAAATGAAAACATAAATGAATGATAAAAATAAAGGATAATTTTTTAACCTTAGTCCTTTGTATTGCTACAATCTCCAATTACTATTCTAACACTTATAAACATATATATAAAATTATTTACTTTTCAACATACATTTATTATACTTTCTTGATTACAATATTTTTGAAGATCAAACCAAAATGTTTATTAAAAATACACATTTCCCCTTAAAGAAACTAAACAAAATTTACCAACCAGACAATTTTTCTGTAATATCGTAGACTTCAAGACTGTGGGATTGAAAATAAATTATGTAAGTTGGTCTTATTTTCAGAAATTTTGTCTAACTTAAGTACATCTGATTACTAATTTTTCTCTATAACAGTACCATAAAATTATAATTTCTATATATCTATTTAATTTCTAACATTTTCAGCTATATTAATTATTAATCAGTACAGCAGCTAAGTTTAGTTTTTAAATACTATTTTTTATTATTTAAAACAAAGTAGCAGCTGAATATCAAAACATTAGGAAGTCTTTTCCTGCCCTTCAATTAAAATTCTATTTGACTTACAAGCAAGAAATGCCACTATCCCAATATTAGAGGTAATTTGCTAAAGTGATATATTTTCATCAGTACAAGCCGCTAAGATTAATTAATAAACAAATATTAATTTATTGTAAAGATTTATGTCTAAATTTGGAACTTTATCATACAGTTATTAAATTTTTAAAAACATATATTTAAAAAAACTACAATGAAAGTCTAAGACTTAGATGATTGAAAGGATATTTTATTTTTATTCATTTGAAAGCTAAAATCAATTTCCTATGCAAGCTTGATAAGTGTTAACTTGATTGCAGTTGGACAATTAATGGTACTTGCTAATTGGTTAATCAATGGGAATATTAAGTGGGAGTGTACTACTTTTCTAACTTTGTCAACCACTGTAATATTCTAATATGATATTAATCTTTCTATTTTACCTATTTTAAAGTTATAATTTTCCAATACAAAAATGTATTTCTGATAGGTACTTCCTTCTTCTCACAAGATTAGCTTTTCCTGGTTTGTGCTGCCCTCTATATGCAGACTTTTTCAAAATGCATGCCACAAGACTTCCACATCCCTCTGTTGGAATCCAAAGTTCCAACATATATCTCATGCATAAACTCTCCACCAAAGAAGAGTATAATTATCGTGTGACTCCCTCTATGCTCCACTACCGAACTATCACTTCAAAGTTTGGCAGAAGATGTGAGCACCAGAAGTTTGTGGGCAGGAAGGGTGGAAAATGTAGGCAGAGGGAAGTACCTGTCAGAAATAAATTTTCACATGGGAAAATTATAACTTCCGATACGGTACCTTCTCTCCTCTCACAAGATTAGCTTGAATCCCATATTAAAAAGGAGGAGGGACCAGTATGAGGAAAGAACAGGTGTAATTCCCCAAAAGCATCCAAAGAACACCCTAGTGATTAGAGAAACAGATCAGATATCTGAGGAGGGGCACCACACCACTTCTAAACCAGGTATCTTTTTGCCATGAATGGAATATAAAGGGAGCACATCTGCATGGGAGAGGACAAGTCAGTAATATGATCCCAATCAGAGAAACAGATACACTCAATCCCACGTAATGAAAGTGGGTAATGGAGGATGTGTCCCATGGTGTAGAGTGGCTAGGGCATGTCAGACCATACTCAGTAAGTAAAGTACATCCAAAACCTCACTCGCTGGGTACCAACATCCATGCAAGGGTAGGATGAGAATTATACCATCTTCACCTCAAGCCTTAGAGTAGTGAATGTACATATAATATCGACTGCAGAAAACATCTCACAAGATGAACATTGAGTGAAACTAAGCATCTGTACATACATTTAATCCAATATACAATTGCAATTATTATCAAAATTTTTGTAGGTTTAGTTATATACTCACTGCAAGTCTGAAATATCTATTCTTATTAAAGCATAATTATTTTTCTTCTATATTCTGTTGTTGATGCTGTTTTAGCACAAAACTACACAATGGGCTATGTGTGTTCTGTACTCTGCAAAGAATCAAACCCTGGATTTTAGCACTGTAAATCCATAAACTTACAACTGACACATCCGGGAATAAACTACATTATCTTAATTAACTAGTAACTTGCAATGCATTACAGTAAAAACAAACAGCATGTTCGCTTGACTGGGCAATCTAATCATGACAGACCAGCCACCTGACAAACAAAACAATTTCTTAAAAAATATTTAATCACTGGTACAAATTTGCAAATTTAGAGAAAACATGAAAATAAATTTTACAGTTTAACCCTTTTGAATACAACCCCTCCCAATAATGACTTCCTTTTAGATATAACTATTTTTCTGTGTACGGAATGATTTTACATTGATCTGTTTGTTTGTTTTGAATTTCGCGCAAAGCTACACGAGGGCTATCTGCGCTAGCTAATTTAGCAGTGTAAGACTAGAGGGAAGGCAGCTAGTCATCACCACCCACCGCCAACTCTTGAGCTACTCTTTTACCAACGAATAGTGGGATTGACCATCACATTATAACGCCCGCACGGCTGAAAGAGCGAGCATGCTTGGTGTGACGGGAATTTGAACCTGCATATTGCGAGTCGAGCTCCCTAACCACCTGGCCATACCGGGCCACATTGATCTGACCTCCCACAAATGATTTCCTGATAGATGTGACATACAACCATAATTTTGGGGCAGAAGGTTGGATAACGACCTCTTTATAGCAACTTTTCTTCATTTAAATAAAAACATACAAACATGTTGTGTTCATTTATTTGATTTTACACGTATATGTAAGCACTATAATCTGAATCGGTGATGCTTCAACTGTAATTTTTTTATGTTCATAACTGGTGAGTAATTAGATGCCATATAACAAAAATGAAAATGAAGGCTGGGAAATTTTCATATTTTAAGTAATATTCTTCAAAATATGAGTATCTCTACCGTAATTATTCAATGTGATCAGAAAAAATCAACAATTTCAACAGCAATTAGTGCTTGATTACAACAATTGATATGTGAGTGTTTTGACAAGTAGTGCACAAATGGCCATGAAAATGAGACCACGATGCAAGCTGGGAAAATCCTCACCAGCCAATCAGCAGTCAGAATAGGTGTTTTATTGAGATGTTAGATGATGCATGATGAAAGTAATTCTCCTGGTGAATAACTAACCTGCAGCTTTATATATAAATATGACACATGTCAAAGAATAAACCCCTTAAACTTTTGTACAAAGATCGATTCCGTTTCACAATGCCTGAAGAAAAGTGAAAACGTAAACACCTCACTCTCCAAGAAAAGGCCAAAGTAATCAAAAAAGCATGAAAAGGGTGCCAAATATATTCATACTGCTGCTGAAATACAGGTTGGCAAAATACAAATTCAAACAATTGTTGCCAATAAAGTTAAATTTAGAAGATATGCAAAAATGGTTGTAATTCGAATATGAGTGCATAAAACTGCATATCACAAACTTAACAAGTTAGTGTTTGATTAGTTCTGTGATGCTAGAGCTAAGAACATTCCTGTTTCTGAAAAACTGATCCAAGATAAATTATTTTACATAAAACATAAACAAAACAATTTTAAGTTAACTTCATCAAACTGTTATCCATCATAAGTAGTATTATACCACTTTGCTATATCATCTGATTACCTATACAGTACATAAATTATTATGTTCAAGCCTTGGCAATAGTGACTGGCACAGCTTGAACTTGGTCCTTTGTTATCTGGTTATTGATCTTTTGAATAACGACTTCTTGTCAGATACAACTTTTTTATTGTGGCAGCTAGGGACTACTGTATTACATATTTGAAAATAAATTATAGAAAAATACAAAAGATATCATCACAAAGGATGTAGTGCTGGCAGGCCAGCCCTTCCTCTCCTGTCATGTCCCCTGCCTATCGCACTGGGAGGTATTTGAGCACGCTGCTGGGTGGTTGAAGGAGTGGATAGCTGGAATCTACGTCACCATTCTCTACCTTGTGTACAGCCCTGGATACATAGACATGGAGAGTGCTGTGGATGTCCCCAGTTTCTGAGGATATCTGCCTGGTAATCACTAGCAGACTCATCACTGCTGTTGGTATCAGAGCTTGATAGGCACACATCATCACTGTCCCTATTTCATGTTTATTGGATCTGAATATTTGTATATGTGATGTGGACACCACTGCTAAATGTCTAAAATTTAAACTTTTTTGCAGTTGGAATATTAATGATTAATAGCAATAAAAGGCAATATTTTTCAAATAAAACCACACATGGGATTTCCCAAAAGAGTTATTTTCATTTGCTAGGGGGGCTATTACAAAACCAAATGACACAACATTTTAGCCAAACAGATAAAGGGTTATTATATTGACAAATATTGCCAACTATGCTCTGTTTATGTGTCAACTTTGATAGCCACCCAAGCCAAAAGGGTTAATAGAGTTGCTTTAAATGTATGACTTTTCACTTCAATAATTGTTAACTTGTGTTTTTAAAAGGGCAAATTACAAAATTAAGCTATAAAGTTAAACCTGATCTTTCCCCTCCAATAACATACAAAATAAAATGTTCAAATTCTGAATTTTGTTTTGATGTATACTTTATAAACATTTGATTTTATGTTCCCTCACTTATAACTTATTTGGGGAGTAGAATTATTTAAACTTCCCAATTGAATAGATTAACCTTGTCAACATTCAAAATAAAGCTGTAAACCTACAATTTTTTTACATGTTTATTTGCTTCTTTCAAACTCAAACAATTTTAAAACAGTAAATTTTTTAAAAAATGGCATAATTTTTAGAACTTCCACGCTTCTGAAACTAATAAAATCATAGTCTGAAAGATGGGCTTATTTTCTTTCTCATAGTACATTTTGCCATATACCTCCCTTTCTTCCCTACATGGATTGTAAATTTCTAAATTTTTAGTTTGTACATCACAAAGCTCTCTTTATAATGTGTGCTTGCAAATAATCTAAGTACATAATGGTTTTACATGGTTTGTATGATGCATAAAAGAATATAAACTTAATGGGTTTCTCTGCATGTTTAGCTATTTTGCTGAAGTAACTGCTTTGTTGGTTCATTTTCAGATGACAATAATTCTATCTGTGGTAATTTGAGACTAAGTAAAGAAATTGCAGAAGTGAAGCTACCAAGCAATATTCACAGCAAAAGTTTAGAGGTCAGCATGAGGTCCTTTTTTTTTTGCACAGCTGTAGATAATTTGTAAACAGAATACAAAGATAACTTTTATACACAAGATATTGTAAGGTAAATTGTTGTTAATGCATTAGATAATATCTTATTGTAAAATTTATTTTAACAAACCAGGTTACCACAAGACATCATTTGACCTGTGATAGTGTAATAACCTTAAGAATGAGCTAAATATGAACTTTCAGGTCATCTGTTACACGAGTATTATGTAATGGTGTATTATACAAATACCACATATCTTACTCTCTTATGGTATATATATATATATGTGTCATATTCACAAATTTTTCGAACTTATACAAGTTCTAATTTTGTAGCATACTAAATCCTGTTGACATCATTGCAAAATTCAGTCTAATGTGTTCTTGTTTTGCAACTTTAACAGTTTAGGAATATATCTAATATTTCATCACAAGGTTGTATTGTGTCCTTTTATTCTCATGTTTGAAGGATACCTTGCAACTGTCACAAGGAGTGGATATCTCTACATACTTGTGTCTTTTTTTCTGATTGTCAGCTGTAAAAAAAATGTGTATTGTGAATTCAGTTTTGGTAGTCTTAGGTCAGAGTTGTTTCAAATTTTGAGGAAGACAGTTTGTTTCTTGAACTGAGAGAGCAAGAACATGTTGCAAAAATACTCCTATTATCTCAGTACTTCTTTTCCTGCTGACTTCACATATAGTTTAACTTAATTTTCTTTACTCAATCTGGAAGACATGTAATACAGCTGTGCATGGGGCATTAAATAAACAGTACTTTGTTGTGTCCCTTAAACTTGTTTGTTTCTTCTATTTTGTACTTGATATCACATTACTTTCCATCCAGAAAAATCTTCAGACCACTTGTTACATGGGGGTAGTTTACCTGTGTACCATTATCAGTCTAAACCAGGAATACCACAGTGATATAGTTTACAGATATATCATGTAGGAGTTTTTATTTCACTATAAATTGTACAGTTCTCAAAAAATTAAATTAACAAAACAAAATCATTAGTTATAATGCTATGTACTAAAAATGTCAGTGATTCCAATATGGTAACAATCATGAGTTATTATTTGAATGATATGTCAGATTCATCCACTACAATGCCACTAGGCTGAAAGAGTTAAAAGATAGCTTCTTATGAGTATGGCTAAAAGATAATGGATAAAAAATCTAAATTTTCTTTTATTAAAATGAACTTTTTTACATGGTATATATCTATTCTGAAATATTTTCATATTTCTCTTGATTTTGTTTACAGGAAAATGACAAGCCTATTCAAGTCTATCTACAGTTCTGTAAACAGTCTGGTAGTCAAGAGCTGCTTTTTTTAAATAATACTTCTTTATGGGTTGTAACTTTCATATTGATATATTAAGAAACATATTAAAATTACAAACAAACTATTTTGTTCCTTAACTTTAATTAATACCAAAAAAAATGTATCACAAACCTCATTTCGCTGATCTTTAATGTTGAACACTAAACTGCGATATTTGGCCTTATATTTTGCTCCAGTGTCTTTAAAGTATCTAAACAACTCTTCTTCTATTTTCACTGCAATTTTTTTAATTTCATCTGGAAGAACATGTAGGTTTTCTGCATCTTTCAATCTAAAAAATGACAATATTTTGACTGTATATATATATATATATATATATATAAAGTTACTAGAAATTACTTTTCAATAAAACTTCTTCAAATAGTCTCACTTGAATTTTTTTAAATACATATAACAAAATTTTAAACTACAATGAAAAAATAATATGCAATGTGACTTAAAAATAAATTTCAACTCTCTACACAGGTTTGGTAGAATCAACCAACCATGAGACCACTTTGTACTTGTTTAAAGTCATTAATAGTTTTGATACTACCAACTTTTAATATATGTATACTTTCACAAAACTTGGCAAACTTTTAGTAAACATTACAAGTCTTTCACATAAAAAAATCAAATTTTTTAGTGAAGTATTTTTAATAAACTAAAAAAAGGTTGTCCATGAATATACTGAGTCTTTTTTTTTTTGACTAGTCCAAGTGCAAAGTGACCGTCATGTTAAGATTAAAAATTCTTTTCTTCATCTCAAAAACCTCATATTTGGCTTTCGTAATCTATAAAAGCTCCTAAATAAATTTCAAATATTTGTTTTCAGTGAAACTTTATATTATATCTGTTATTTTTTCTACCTTAATTCTATACAACCTTATAACCACCCCTACAAAAATTAAAAATAAATCTAAATTACCTTTCTTCTTTTTAGAATGACTTCAAATTGTATAACATGAAACTACATTCGTTTATCCTAAGTAGCTTTAAACTCTTAACATTATACATCTATTTATACTTAAATTTCATTTTTATTCCCCTTTGAACCATGTCTAACTACTATTTGTGCCATCATCAGTTGTAAATCACTTGGGGAACATGGTCATA